CCCGCGTTGGGGGCGCCGTAGCCGCGGGCCACCTCGGGTCCCCGCGCCGCCCCGTACGGGAGACCCGCCGCCGCCGCCGCGTAGCTGTGTCTCAGCGCCAGGTACGCGTCCTCCGACAGCGACGCGAGCTCCGCCATGGCCCCGCCGCCAGGACCTGAGGACGCGCTGGGCGGGCGGCTGCTCATGCGTCCTGGCCAGAGCCTCGAGGCGCGCACAGCTCCGCGGGGCCCCGTGCAGTGGGGCTGCGGCCCCGAGTCTCAGGGTGCTGGGCCTGTCCCCGACCGCGCCTCCTCGTCCCCTCTCCCTCGCTGCCGCGGCGAGCAAGCAGGGCCGGGACGGACTCAAGCTCCGCTCGCCCCCACTTGTGTTTTAAGCGGCGGAGCGTCCGCTGGGACTTCGCGGCTGTCCAATCAGAGGGGACCTGGTGGCCGCTTCTTGCAAGGCCGGCTTCCCTCCATCGGCTCCTGTGCAGGCCGTCAGGGAGCAACCAGGAGCCAGCAGGGTGCAGGGAGCGGCAAGCCTGGACAGGGGTGCAAGGGGCCACAGGACTGGGCAGGGGTGCAGGGAGCTGCAGGCCTGGACAGGGGTGCAGGGGGCCACAGGCCTGGGCAGAAACTGGAGGCACCTTGGCTCGGTCGGCGGGGCGCACCCTGGAGCCTGCCTCCGGGATGCGTGGCCGTGGGTCTGGACTGGAGACCAGGCAGCCTCCGCTGGGCTCTGCCCTGAGTCATGCAGGTACCAGAACACGTGAGTCCTGAGGTAAGTCTGTTGCTGGGACAGACCCATAGCTGACCCTCCAGGAGCAGCCAGTGAATGTGAATGAGAACGGGGTGGGGGTGAGGGGTTTGGGGACTGCAGTGCTGCAGTGTCCAGGCCGCTAGCATTGGATCTAGTGTCCCCAAAGTCGAGTTGCCGATTAAGGCTTGTTCCCACAGAGGGAAACCTCAAATCAAACTCATTGCCAGCATGGAGGGAGCTTCTCTGAAACCTGGGGCGTCCCCTTCGCGCGCGGTGTGTGTGTGTGGGGGAGATGGAGAAGGGGTGTTCTGGGAGATGAGAGATGGGTCAGGGTAGAGGGACGGGAGAGGCCAGCGGGATGCAGTCCAGCGGGGTAGGCAGATCAGAGGGCGGGGGAAGCAGCCTGGAAGCTGGTAGATGTCGCTCTGGCCAGCTGGCTGTTCCTGCCCCAGGCCCTGGCCCCTGGGCACAGGTCGGGGTAGGATGTATAGGTCCCAGAGCCACCAAGTAACTAGTAGGAGCCTCACCTGCGTGCAGCCAACAGAGCTGCCAGGAATGCAGGTGAGGGGAGAAGCTTCTGGAAGCAGCATGATTCTCCTTCCCATCCTGCCACCTCGTGGCTGCTTGGGGGATTACACACAGATCTTCCTAGAGGGGGAGCATCTCTGGTTGTAAGGCCACCTCAGGGCCCCCTAGGACCTGACTCAACATGGAGCTTCCTCATAGCAGCCACGTGATGGGGGGAGGTGAAGGAATCCCTGGGGACACACCATGTCACTCTCACCTGCCCTTGTTGGAAGCTGACTGGTCCCCTGGGCAAAGAGATGGACAGGAATGGAGAGAGCAGGCCAGTCCCTTCACCGTCCCTCTCCCAGCCCCACACCCAAAATGTGATGATGGAGCAGCTGCTTCAGCACTCTGAGCCTCAGTTTCTGCACCTGTACAGTGGGTGTGTCATCCTCAGCTATCTCCACATGAGCTACTCACATCTCCAGAGGACTAATTGCGAAACCTATACTTGAACCAAGAGGCAGTAGTCAGAGCAGAGCAGGGTAACACTGCATGGTTCAAAATTGGGAAGGGTGTACGCCAGGGATGTACCCTATCTCCAAACCTTTTCAACATGTATGCAGAGCAGATTATCCGAGAGGCTGGGCTCTATGAGGAGAATTGTGGCATCAGGATTGGTGGAAGACCTATTAACAATCTGCGTTATGCAGATGACACAACCCTGCTTGCTGAAACTGAGGAAGACCTCATGCACTTGCTGAGAAGGGTCAAGGACTACAGCCTTCAGTATGGACTGAGGCTCAATGTCAAGAAGACAAAGATTCTCACCACTGGAACAACTGGCAGCGTCAGGATGGATGGCGAAGAGATTGAGATTGTTCACAGCTTCAGTTTGCTCGGCTCCACAGTCAACACTCTTGGCACCAGCAGCCAGGAAATCAAAAAGCGTATTGCGCGTGATGGGAAAGTCTGCTGTTAGGGACCTCTCTAAAGTACTCAGGAGCAACGGTGTCTCGTGCCTGATACAGGCCATGGTCTTTGCAATCACTTGTTATGCATCAGAGAGTTGGACAATGACAAGGGAGGACAGAAGGAGAGTTGATGCCTTTGAGCTGTGGTGCTGGAAAAGAGTACTGAATGTACCATGGACTGCCAGAAAAACATAGAGATTCATCTTGGAGAGGATTAAACCAAGCTACTCCTTGGAGGCAAGGATTCTGGGGCTTCATCTGACATACTTTGGACATGTTGCCAGGAGGGACGGGTCATTGGAGAGGGACATCATGCTTGGGAGGGTGGAGGGACAGCACAGGAGGGAAAGGCCCTCTATGAGATAGATTGATTCAGTGACTGGGGTAATTGGGATGGGTGTGTCAGAGGCAATGCGATTGGCACAGGATAGAGCGGGGTTTAGGGCTGTTGTACATAGGGTCGCTATGAGTCGCAAACGACTCGACGGCACATAACAACAACAACAAGTGTTTAATAAAAAGCTCTCATTGCTGTTGAGTCAGAACTGACTCAGTTGACTGGCTGGCAGGTTTTCAGAGGCTGCACAGCACTGAGATCTCCCTCTTCGCCCTCAGAGCAGCTACTGGATTTAAACCACTGGAGGATGTTGCCTTTGTGTTAATTGCACACTCCCTCCTGAGTACACCCTCTTATTTTTGTGAGCAGTTCCAGCTTTACAGAAAAATAATGCCGGAAGTAGAGACAGCAGAGTTTTATCTTTCCCATCCTCTGCATTACATCTAGGTTCCTCACATAGTTGCTACAATTGATGAAACGATGTTTATATATACATTATTATTAAATTCAGTCAGCAGTTCACAAAGTGGTTGTTGTCTGTGTTCAGCTCTCTGGGGTTAGAAAATGCATCATTTCACCAGTCCACTTTGATCACCAACTAGAGTCACTGTGGTGAAAATGGCCCAAGTCTCCTCCACTCACCTCTGTCTTCCTCCTGACCCAACCTCAAAACCATAGTTTTTCCTTTTCTGGAACTTAGATTCAGTCACTGATTTTTCAAGCAGAATTCTTTCGTTTAGTAATATGCATTTAAGGTTCTGAAATCTGTCTCTCTTTTGTGGTCTGCTTGAAAGTTAACAGGATACATTTGTTTACAATGCAGGGTGCTTTACACATTTTATTTCACTACAGTAGCTGCTGTTCCCTCAACGTAGGAGCTCCTTCCCACTTCCTTCCAGGGTCTACCCCACCCCCTGCCGTTGTGTTCATTCCTCCCTGTGTCCTGCCCCACCTGCATTCTGAGAGCACGTCCTACCGTCCTACCGCCTGCTAGAGATCTCTTCCCCTATGTGAACCATCTTACTCCACAATGGGGGGAGGCATCCTGGCTGTGCCTGGGTGAAGGCCAGGGAAGTCAAGGGGAGCCCCCTGGACCCCACTCATAGAAGCATCCTGGCTGTGTCCAGCGTAAGGCCAGGGAAGCTGAGTGAAGCACCTCCCCCGCCACCCTGGTCCCTACCCGTGGAGGCATCCTCACTGTGCCTGGGTGAAGGCCAGAGAAGCCAAGGGGAGTATTCATTGTGATTTTGTGGGTGGTCATTGTTCCGACCTAATTGTTTCCTCCATTCTCTTTGGTCAGCAGAGTCAAGCAAGGGTGGCCTCTGGGTGTAATCTCTGTCCTTGCTCCACTTTCTGGCTGGAGAGGGCCAGGACATGGTGCTGGGGAGGCCATCAGGGGCTGTCCTGAGAGCCAAGAGCAATGACCACAGAGTGCCTGGCCAGCACAGCTGCTTGTGGAGGGGGGGGCCTCAGGGGGAAAGAGGGGCTGTAGAGAAAGGCCACAGGGGGTGGGGTTACATGAGAAAGGAGGGACAGAGGCTGCATAGGGACTGAGGCCATGTGGGGTGTGAGCCTCCTCCAGGGCCCTCAACACACTCTCAGAGTCTATCCTGGACCTTCCAGCCCAGTGACAGCTGAGTTCTCACCCGCAGTGGGCAGAAACGACCACTCCTGTTCCTGTAAATCCTGAGTGGTGGAACCAGGTCTGAACCACCAGGTTAGGGTAGATTATGATGCAGGAATGAAGTCACAGGCCAGAGGCTGCTTCCCCAGGCCCCATGGCAAGTGAGTCCTGTGAAAGGTGGTGTCCCTTCCCTGCCCCCACCTCTTCCAAGTGACGCTGTGGCCCATGTGGCCTTCTGCTCTTGGTCACCTGCTGCCCCTCTGCTTCCTGAGTCTTTGCCCCGTCTTGCCCGGGCCCCCTCCACTTTATCACTCCTGCCTCGGCTCCCTGGATCTGAATTAGGAGTCTCTTCCTGCTTGCTGTCTGCCTGCCCGGGCTCTTGACCCCTTCACTCTGTAGACCAGGCACATAGCTATCTAGACTAAGTACAGGGATTTTCAACCACACTGGACACTCTATCCCCGACCCCACTTCATAGCTATTGCTGTGGACAGACAGGAGATGGGAAGGCAGGATGGGAAGCCTTGGGGAGCTTTGGACATTCCAGGGGCTGAGTATCCTGGGACAGTTCAAGAAGTGACCAGCCCTGTCCCCTCTGTTGGGCAGGGGAGGAGCCTAGGATAGTGACACCCACAGGGTGACCACTCCTCTTATGGCCTCCAGGGGGCAGCACGTCCCTGGGTTTGAGTTTTGTGGACTCCAGGCCTTGAGCTATGGGTGTGTCCAGAGGAGTCTGCAGGTGTGCAGGAGGCAGCAGGTGAGGGGGACACGCAGAGTGTGTGTGTGTGTGTGTGTGTGTGTGTGTGTGTACGTACGTGTACATATGTGCACGCGCGCACTGGAGTTCCTTCAGTGGGGGAGGAGCGGGCAGGGGAGAGACATTATCTGGTGTCTGTGGACCCCACTCTGAGGCTGGGCTGGAGGGGCAAGTTCCAGGCACTATGCACCCTGCACGTGGTCTTTTCTAGAACGTTATGGGGGTGATGTCCTGCAGGATGGGGCCCT